GCCAAAAGGTAATGATTTGCATGTCCACTTACCCATAAAAAGAGACTGGCCCCGTCTTTTAGGGTCGGTTCACACTACAGAAACCCAACTGCGTTTCTGCATGCGCATTTTTTTAAGCGTTTTTGGCATTTATTTATGCTTTCCGCTTCATTTTTTCCCTCTCTTTTTGTTCAACTGAAATAGGGACATGTGCATTTCAGTGCATTTTTGTGCATTTTACCAAGTTCCAGTACAGTTCTGTGCAGGAAAAATGCAGCCTGTTCTACTTTTTTTCTGCAACAGAAACACACTGGAACTGCAAGCATTGATGTGAACTATGACGCAGAAAAAAAACCACACAAACGAATGTAATGTGAACTGGAAGTAAGGACATGTAATACCTCCTGTTTATAAGAGGGCAATGCTGTATCTGAACGATTTCCATCTAAATTATATGCCCAAATTAAAGAAAGAAGACTGGAAAAGGCTGTATTAAATATGTTAAGCCAATATTTCATATTCATGATATGTGTCTGTTGTACCATGCACATTTGTTAAGAAGTTCTCTTTGTATTGCTTCCTTTGAGTTAAATATCTAAAATGATCCTGCCAGTCCCCTGCTTTCCTATTTCACATTGACAACACTAGGGATGACAACACATGACATCAGTTTTTTAGCTGTTCTGTTCCCAGAACAGCCTTGCCTGTCCTCCTATAAGACTTGTGCTGACACCCCCCCCCCCCACACACACACACACCCCCCTGCACAGCCATTCACTGGGAAGATCAGTGTCCTGCTGTTTTTGCACTCCCCACCTCTCCATGCCCCTTGTGCAGCTGAGAACAGAGATTAGAGTTAAAAAAGAAGTTATAATGTCAAAAAGGTATTTATATTGTAACACGCAAACATTTTATTTGCATTTATATTTTAAACTGAATTGGTTGCCTTACAAGGTGAGGGTTCAACATATACTTTAATTACTCTACACCAAAGGTCTTCATTATACAGTTAGGTCCATATGTATTTGGACACAGGTACAATTTTTGGTTTTATCAGGTATTTACCAAAACATATTCTAGCTATAGTTATATAATGGATATGAGCTGAAAGTGCACACTCTCAGGTTTAATTTGAGGATATGTACATCCAAATTGGAGGAAGGGTTTAGGAATTACAGCTCTTAAGAGTAGCCATCCTCCCTTTTTTCAGGGACCAAAAGTAATTGGACAAATGAATATAATCATAAATAAAATGTTCATTTTTAATATTTTGTTGATAATCCTTTACTGGCAATGAATGCCTGAAGTCTGGAACCCATGGACATTGCCAAGGACTGGGTTTCCTCCTTTCCGATGTTTTGCTAGGCTCTAATTGCAGCTGTCTTCAGTTCTTTGCTTTTAGGTCTTTCTGTCTTTAGTTTTACCTTCAGCAAGAGAAGAAATAATATTCCACTTCTTTTCCTTCAAAAGCTCTTGGGTTGCTTTTGCTGTGTGTTTTGGATCATTGTCCATCTGTACTGTGAAGCGCCATCCAATCAACTTTGTTGCATTTGGCTGAATCTGGGCTGACAGTATATTGCTAAACACTACAGAATTAATTTGGCTGCTTCTGTCTTCTGTCACATCATCAATAAAAACCAATGACCCAGTGCCACTGGAAGCCATGCATGCCCATGCCATCATACTGCCTCCACCATGTTTTACAGATGACGTTGTGTGCTTTGGATCATGAGCTCTTCCAAGCCTTCTCCACACTTTTTTTTCCCCGTCATTCTGGTACAGATTAATCTTAGTTTCATCCGTCCAAAGAATGCTTTTCCAGAACTGGTCTGGCTTTTTTAGATGTTTCTGGCAAAGGCTAATCTGGCTTTTCTATTCTTCAGGCTTATGAATGGTTTGCACCTTGTGGTGAACTTTCTGTATTTACGCTCATGAAATCTTCTCTTGATTGTAGACTTTGACAATGATACTCCCACCTCCTGGAGAGTGTCCTTCACTTGTCTGGATGTTCTGAATGGGTTTTTCTTTACCAAAGAGAGGATCGTGCGATCATCCACCACTGTTGTCTCCCGTGGACGTTGTTGCCTTTTTATGTTCCTGAGCTCACCAGTGCGTTCTTCTTTCCTCAGAATGTACCAAACTTTTGATTTGGCCAATCCTAATGTTGCTGCTATCTCTGTGATAGATTTGTTTTGTTTTTGAAGCCTTACAATGGCCTGTTTCACTTGCATGGACAGTTCCTTTGAACGCATGATGTACAGTGGATAATAAAAGTCTACACACCCCTGTTAAAATGTCAGGCTTCTGTGATGTAAAAAATTGAGACAAAGATAAATAATTTCAGAACTTTTTCCACCTTTAATTTGACCTATAAACTGTACAGCTCAATTGAACAACAAATTGAAATCTTTTAGGTGGAGGGAAGTAAAAATAAAAAACTAAAAATAATATGGTTGCATAAGTGTGCACACCCTTAAACTAATACTTTGTGGGAGCACCTTTTGATTGTATTACTCAGTCTTTTTTGGTATGAGTCTATCAGCATGGCACATCTTGAAATGGCAATATTATCCACTCTTCCTTGCAAAAACACTCCAAATCTGTCAGATTACGAGAGCATCTCCTGTGCACAGTCCTCTTCAGATCACCCCACAGATTTTCGATCGGATTAAGGTCTGGGCTCTGGCTGGGCCATTCCAAAACTTTAATCTGCTTCTAATGAAGGCATTCCTTTGTTGATTTGGATGTATGCTTTGGGTCACTGTCATGCTGAAAAATTAAGTTCCTCTTCATGTTCAGCTTTCTAGCAGAAGCCTGAAGGTTTTGTGCCAATATTGACTGGTATTTGGAACTGTTCATAATTCCCTCTACCTTGACTAAGGCCCCAGTTCCAGCTGAAGAAAAATAGCCCCAAAGCATGATGCTGCCACCACCATGCTTCACTGTGGGTATGGTGTTCTTTTGGTGATGTACAGTGTTGTTTTTGCGCCAAACATATCTTTTGCAATTATGTCCAAAAAGTTCAACCTTGGTTTCATCAGACCATAACACATTTTCCTACATGCTTTTGGGAGACTTCAGATGGGTTTTTGCAAAATTTAGCCGGGCTTGGGTGTTTTTCTTTGTAAGAAAAGGCTCCCGGCTTTCCACTCTACCCCATAGCCCAAGCATAAGAAGAATATGGGAGATTGGTGTTACATGTACCACACAGCTAGTACTTGCCAGATATTCCTGCAGCTCCTTTAATGTTGCTGTAGGCCTCTTGGCAGCCTCCCAGACCAGTTTTCTTCTCGTCTTTTCATCCATTTTGGAGAGAGGTCCAGTTCTTGGTAATGTCACTGTTGTGCCATATTTTCTCCACTTGATGATGACTGTCTTCACTGTGTTCCATGGTATATCTAATGCCTTGGAAATTCTTTTGTACCCTTCTCCTGACTGATACCTTTTAACAATGAGATCCCTCTGATGCTTTGGAAGCTCTCTGAGGACCATGGCTTTTGCTGTAGGATGCAACTAAGAAAATGTCAGGAAAGACCTACTGGAACAGCTGAACTTTCTTTGGGGTTAATCAGAGGCACTTTAAATGATGGCAGGCGTGTACTGACTCCTATGTAACATGATTTTGAATGTGATTGCTTAATTCTGAACACAGGTACAGTTATAAGAGGGTGTGCACACTTATGCAACCACATTATTTTAGTTTTTTATGTTTACTTCCCCCTCCTAAAAGATTTCAGTTTGTTTTTCAATTGGGTTGTACAGTTTATAGGTCACATTAAAAAGGTGGAAAAAGTTCTGAATGTATTTATCTTTGTCTCATTTTTTTACATCACAAAAACATGATATTTTAACAGGGGTGTATAGACTTTTTATATCCACTGTAGGTTCACAGCATAAGATTCCAAATGCAAATGCCACACTTAAAATCAACTCCAGACCTTTTACCTGCTTAATTGATGAAGAAATAAAGGAGTAGCCCACACCTGGCCATGAAACAGCTTTTGGTTCAATTAACCAATTACTTTTGGTCCCTTAAAAAAGGAGGGATGGCTACTCTTAAGAGCTGTAATTCCTAAACCCTTCCTCCAATTTGGATGTACATACCCTCAAATTAAACCTGAGAGTGTGCAATTTCAGCCTATATCCATTATATAACTATAGCTTGAATATGTTGTTTTGGAAAATACCTGAAATCTAAAATTGTGCCTGTGTCCAAATATATATGGACCTAACTGTACATTGGTCTCAACATACCTCTATAATAAAACCATTACACCTTTCTCTGAGTCTGACAAGAGGGCTGATAGGGACCAAGGGGAAACCTTATTTATTATGAACATCCCCATCAATACTCAAACCTGATGTTACTCAGCATAGTAAGTTCCGCTTTATTAGTCCACACTTCTATATTTTATTATTACCACTAGTATAAAAAATGGTTGATGTATGGATGCTTTAGTCAGATTCCATATTATGTAGTATAGATATTTATATTATATATAATATACTGTAAATGTAGTAAATAACACCATAGACCTATGTGTGCTCTAAACAAGGCTTGTAACTCACACAGGCTAACTCTAGACATAGGATGACACCTACACACAGATACTGTATATGATACACGTACAGTATACAGTGCATTCATGAAGTATTTAGACCCCCTTCACATTTTTCAATTTTGTTATATTACAGCCTGATACTACAGTTGTTTAAAATTTCTTTTTTTTCCATTTGCCTAAAGGCAGTACCCCATAATGACAAAGTGAAGACAGAATTTTAGAAATGTTTGCAAATTTATGAAAAAGGAAAAACTGAAATATCACAGTGGCAACAACACTTAAAATTTAACTCAGGTGCCTCCTATTTCTCTTGATTATTGCTGAGATGCTTCTACACCTTGATTGGAGTCCACTGTATATACATGGACAGATGGACACACATTGTTCCACCACAAACCTCAAAGTGCCTCCAAGATGCCCCACCCTCTTCTCTATTCCCTAGCATATCTGATCACTTACCTTTGAGGCCAGGGCCTCGGCACTCTCCCGACATGACTTCTCGATCTCCAGATTGTTCTGCATGAAGCCGACCTCCTCAATAACCATATGAGAGACTGCAGGGAAAGAAAACACTGTGAGATCTCAGGAAACATCTTCCAGTTACTTTTTAGGAGACCCCACCATCCCCCAATATTCTGGAAATATTGACATTTCAGCTTTACAATACCAGTTATGATAGTGTCTAAGAAGGGTCACAGGTATGTATGTCATGGTTCCCACATCTATACAAAACATAATTGTTTTAAATATTATTGAGGCTGTAGAGCCAACAGTCTGATCATACAGATCTATGGACTCCAGTGAAAAGTATGGATTCCACCACAATACAGTGAACATTCACAGCGGAGTGCGGTTATCAGATGGTCTTATATGCACGGTTGGCCAGAATGGTGCAAAGAGCAGCGGTGGTTTCCCGATCTTGATTTGTGATGACATATGACCAAAGTCACTCAGCAGTGTCCGCCATGTATCTCTACAATAAGAGACCTCAGCTAAGAGTACTCCTCTTCAGACACAGTATTTCCTTTTGAACCTATTGAAAATGCATTTGAGTTCACTGTGTTGTCCACTACCAGAAGCCATATCTAGCCACCAGTGTGTCAGACCATTGGCAGTATTTATCAACGCGATTCCTGGACAGCACATCAGGTGTGTGTCAGGGGAAAAAAAAAATCTCCCCTCAAACTCATCTTTATCTCAAACCTCCTAATGTGCTCAATGCTCAACATCTTTTACTAGTTGATTTGTGATTGTGACCAAACTCTCATTTTACATCAGCTGTTTTGTAATAAAAAGTGCCTCCCCACTCAAAACATGTGAACTGAACCATATGCTGGCTTTTTGTCTTTCCTGTGGAAATCATCAGCTTTAGCACCAAAAGAGCTTACACTCTAATGCACTCACCACAGTCACACAAACACATATGCATGCACACTAGAGCGGATTTACTCAAAAGTCTGATGTAGGTTAGGCTCGGTTCACACTTGTGCGGGTGGTTGCTGCTGCGGGACCACACCTGTTCCCGCAGCAGCAACCACCCACACAGAAAAAAACGCACTGCAGTTCAGGAAAAGCATGAGGGTGCCGTTAATCATAGTGGCTTCCCCACACACTGGAAACCGCACTGTGCAATTTCCCTGCAGCTGCATGTTCTGAAAAGGTGCAGGGACCTTTTTGCTGTGTTTCACTGGATACAATAGCCCATTCAAATGAATAAGCTGCACAAGCAATGAAGCTGCATAGTGAACTGCAGGAGTGTGAACTTAACCTGAATGGAGGCAATACAATAAGGCATGTGAGAAACATTTCTGGCGGTGTGGAAGTAGTCCGAAGCCTTGTGCCGAATTTAAGAAACTTGGGTGACATTTTCATTGTTAGGACCGCCATGTGCGAAAAATTTATGTAGTTCTTATTTAGGACACTTTGGCAGTCTGTCCCTATTGCTGCAACAAAATTATAAGGAAATACAGCCATGTCAGTGATAGGAAAAGTGGAGGTAAATAAGACATCTTCCACATTGGAGTAAATTGTGCCACGTGTGTAAGTACTGTATGCAAGACAACATTCTGACAGACGATTCTGCAATATATTTATATCTATCTATCTATCTTACTAACATACAGTCATGGCCAAAAATATTGGCACCCCTGCATTTCTGTCAGATAATGCACCACTTCACCCAGAAAATAGTTGCAATTACAAATGTTTAGGCATTCTCATGTTTATTTCTTTTATTTTTTATTGGTATGACACAAAAAAGTGCAGAGAAAAAAAAGCCAAATCTGTAAATGAATCTGACTCAAGTAGCACCAGGGTTTTTTCAGCAGGAACGCAGTCCTGGCACCTCCAGCACTGAATACAGTATATGTAATGACAAGGGGTGGTGGGGTGTGTTGGAGGGTCTATTGATGCTGGCTGCTGAGGGATCTATTGTTGCTGGCAGGGGTATATTGTTGTTGGGGTGAATCTATTGTTGCTGGGGGATCTATTGTTGCTTGGAAGGGTCTATTGTTGCTGGCTGCAGGGGATCTATTTTACTGCTTTTCTTGTTATTATTAACAATAATCCTTACAAACTACTTAGCACCACATAATGAATGGTTCTGTATTCCCTAAAAGGGGCAATGAGGTGGGTAGTGGGCAGAGACAAGGGGTGACTTAGGAGGGGGAGTACTTGCACCTATTCTCTGAGAAAAAGAGCCCTGAGTAGCACCATTTATCAGACTACTGGGAAACTGATATCTAATGAATATTCAGGACACACTTTATGAATTTCACAGCACGCTTTTGGTTTGAGGGTAAAAAACGGGAGCACCTGGAGGAAAGCAACAACGTAGAACACAGACTTTAAGTAGTCATTCACACTAGCGCTGATCGCTCTTCAGAGAGCATCTGACAGTCTGACGGGGTAAGGAGGCGCACTAGCACACCACAACCACATGCATTGTGTAACTTGAAAGGGTCGCAGTTGACAAGCATTACATTCGTGGAAAACGAGAGGGAGTAGAATTCCTTCCCTGAAGCAAAGCATTGCGGCCGCAGCATGTGTACACCTCAGATGCTACCTCTGCAGATAGTAGAGGTGGGGGGGGGTCGATAAAAGCCAAACCTCATGTGTGAGTGAGCCCTGACAGCCTCACTGGGAATCAGACATAGGATTCCAGTGCTGCATTCCCATAAAACCCCCAGTAAGTATGGAATGTGAACACTACAAGTACAACACATCATGCAGCAACTGGTCCAGATATCATCCAGAGGGCTGGAAAATGTACCGGGGACTAAATCAGGGTCCCAGTCTATTTTTCCTGATAAAAATATATATTTTTTTTTTAACTAAACCGTATTGAAATAAGGTTTTAATATTTCGCTGTTTTTCTCCTACTCACCTCCTAGCCTGTCTCCAGCACCGCACCCGGGGACCAGGAGGGAGGGGAGAGACCTTGCAGTGTGATGAGCACCAATTGGGTTCTCATCAGGAAAGGGGAGTGTCGAGCTCTCCTAATGCCGAGCAGAAGTGCGGCTGCTGAGCGAGTAAATGAGGCGCCGACCCCATTGAGGGGGGAAAGAAAAAAAAGAAAACAAAAAAACCTTTTTACTTCAGGTTCCCCAGGCACAGGGAAGCACTTGGGTGCTCAGTACAAGCGTATGCTGAGCAGCCAAATCAAGCTCCAGTGTCCGATCCATTTCTGCCCGTGATCTGAAAACTCACTACAATCACAAAACGTAGGATCAGGTGCTATTTGTAATGCCACCTAAAACATGGTGCAATTTTGCCACGATTGCCGCATAGCAGTTGTGGCAAATCACATCGCATGAAGCTTGTCACCCAGAAGAAGCTCCTACTACTTTTTTGGGCAAAAACGTCATGCGATGCGATATGCCACACAACATATTGCAGCAAAACAGCACTGCGTTTTAGGTGCCACTGAAAATAATGGCACTTGAACCCGAGTTTTGCGATTGTAGTGCATTTTGAGTAAAGCAGACAGAGTCGCAGCGATTCTGCCACAATTCTAAAGCACCCCGGTGTGAATGGAGCCTTAGTCCCGGCTCAAACTGATGCAGATCAGATGCGGTTCCAAAGACATACATTCGCATGGGATCTGAAAAACACATTATTTACTATGAATAATATTCACATCTATGACGAGCGATTTTGATCCGTTTAAAAAAAGGTCTTGTGCGAGTTTGGAGCGATGTGTTCCAAACTTGCACAGCATAGAGTGTAGTGGCATTTCTGAGACACCTGTTCACACAGGATACCATTCATAGCTGGTTTTGCATAGAAGTGGCTAAAAGACAGATATGCATAGAAGTGGCTAAAAGACAGATCTGAATTGCATTTAAACCGCTGGACAACTACCTCTGATAATTGCACTGCAAACTTACATGAAAGATCGCACCATATAAAAGTAAACCTAGCTGCTTGCTTGAAAAAAAAAACCTGCCTGTTCACGGAACTGCATGTTCCACACGTTGGGTAATAGGATTTGCCTGCGGTATGAAATCGACCCAAAGCATACCTCCAAATTCAACAAAAGAATGGCTTCACCAGAAGAAGATGAAAGGTCTGGAATGGCCCAACCAGAGCCTGAACCTGAATCCAATTGAAAATCTGTGGGGTGACCTGGAGAGAGATGTGCACAGGAGATGTCCTCACTGACAGATTTGGAACGCTTTTGCAAGGAAGAGTGGGCAAACATTCCCAAGGCAAGATGTGCCATGCTGATAGACTCATACCCAAAAGGACTGAAAGCTGTCAAAAAATAAAAAGGTTTATTTGTATTTTTTCTAAAAGGTGGAAAAAAGTCAAAAGTGATTTACCGTATATACTCGAGTATAAGCCGAGTTTTTCAGCACATTTTTTGTGCTGAAAAACGGCCCCCTCGGCTTATACTCGAGTCAACGTCTGCAGATGTCTAGCAGGGGGACAGAACAGAAGGGAAACTAAGTACAGGGGTGGGCAGGGGGCTGCTGTCTCTTACCTGGCTCCGGTCCCACGTTGATCCGGTCCAGGAAGCGCGGCTGCTCCTTCATTCGGTTCGTCCACTGGATATTCGCGCGGGCTGCTCTCGGCTCCGCCTTCTCACCGGTGATTGGCTGCCAGAACTGTAGCTCAGGAAAGGCACACAGGCAGCCAATCACCGGCGAGGAGGCGGAGCTGAGCGGCCCCGCGAAAATCGAGTGAAGGAGATGCAGGTAAGTGTGCCGTGCTTAGGTGCTGCTGCAACCACATATGCTGGCTGCAGCAGCACCATACTGGAACAGGGGTCAGCAAGTGTCAGTGGGAGGAACAGTGCCCCATCATTGGTGTCACTGATACCAATGATGGGGCATTATTCCTCCCACTGACACCAACGATGGGACACTTTTCCTCCCCCCCACTGCCACCAACGATTGGGCACTATTTCCCCCCCCCCCCCACTGACACCAATGATGGGGCACTATTCCACCCCCCACTGACACCAATCATGGAGCACTATTCCCCCCCCCCCCACTGACACCAACATGGGGCACTTTTCCCCCCCCCCCCACTGACACCAACGATGGGGCACTT